AAAAAAAAAAAAAAAAAAAAAAAACCGAGAGAGAGAGATAATTCTGTAATTCTGGTTGCTCTGTGGAGAAGGGAGTGTAGGGAGCAGGCAAGACTTAGGAATGGGGGAGAGAGAATGGTGGCCTGGACTAGTGTAATGGTAGGGGAGAGGATTTTATACTTGGGGATAAGAAAGAAAATACTTGAGGTGATACTTGTTTTTTTTAATAAAATTTTTGAAATTACAATCAAAAAAATAAAAAGACAAATGAATTCTATTTTTATTTATTTTTTTATGAGACGACGTCTTGCTCTGTTTCCCAAGCTGGTGTGCAGTGGTATGATATTGGCTCACCTCATTGTCTGCCTCCAGGGTTCAAGTGATTCTCCTGCCTTTGCCTCCCTAGTAGCTGGGATTACAGGCACCCTCCATCATGCCTATCTAATTTTTATATTTTTAGCAGAGCCAGGGTTTCGCCATGTTAGCCACACTAGTCTTGAACTCCTGATCTCAGGTGATCTACCCACCTCGGCCTCCCAAAGTGCTGGGATTATAGGTGTCAGCCACCACCCCCAGCTGAATGAATTTTTTAAAAAAGAATGAAAATACTTGCTGACAAATGGTGTACGAATGGTAAAGGGAACAAACTCCTGGTTTTCTACCTTAAATAAATGGGTAGATGGCAGTGCCATGTATTAAGAGAAAAACTGGAGGAGAAGCAAAATGCTCATGACATAGCCAACTATATCACACTTGGAAGAAAAAAAGTAAAACCCAGTTGTGCTTGTTCAGGGGTAACTAGGAATTAAAGGCCTGAAGCTGCTACCCTGGTGAAGATAAAGTGTTTGGGGGTTATGATAGAGAGTAAAGTGCAAGAATCTGAATGGATGCCCTAGGAAACGGGTTCCACTTAATTCAGACATAGGGAAGGAGTTCAGCCTGATGTAAGGAAAGGCTATCTCAAGGTCAGAGTGAAGTGAGCTGCCCTGGGAGTAGGAGAGAGTGAATGATGACTTCTCTGTCATTAGAAGGGTTAAAGAAAAAAATAGATGACCCCTTGACTAGAGGGATAGAGAGAGAATTCAGTAATTGAATAGAGTAAATGCTACATAAAATCCTTCTAAACTCTGGAATTCTGTGCTTTCAAGATAAAATCTTAATTAATCTAACCTTCAGGACTGGAGTTTCTCCAACAAGCCAGAACTCCCTTGGTATGTCCTACCTCTCAGAAGGCAAATGAGAATGTTAGCTAATTTTGGTCACTATAAAGTGACTCCTAGTTCATTTCTAAGTGTCATACAAGATGCCGAAAGCTTTTTGGTGTAGGTAAAAGGGACAAGCTATGGAATTGGATATCCCATATCAGCAATTTATTAGCGCTGTGTCCTCTGGCAAATTATTTAAATTCTCTGAGTCTAAATTTATTTCTTTGAAATGGGGGGAAAGCAATGCCTACCTCAGGATGTTTACTGTGAGGACCAAAGCCTAGTACCTGATACATTCTATTAAGAATAATAATGAGGCCAGGTACAGTGGCTCATGCCTGTAATCCCAGCACTTTAGGAGGCTGAGGTGGGCAGATCACCCGAGGTCAGGAGTTAAAGACTAGCCTGGCCAACATGGGGAAACCCCATCTCTATAAAAACACAAAAATTAGGCCGGTGTGGTAGCAGGCACCTGTAATCTCAGCTACTTAAGAGGCTGAGACAGGAGAATCCCTTGAACCTGGGAGGTGGAGGTTGCAGTGTGCTGAGATCGCACTTCTGAACTCCAGCCTGGGCAACATGAGAGAAACTCCATCTAAAAAAAAAAAAAAAGAAGAATAGCTAACATCTATTACTACAGATCTATAACTATATGCTAGGCATGTGTTAACATGCATTTTTTAAAAATCCAATCCTTATAACAACCCAGAAAGCAGCCACTATTATCTTCCCTGTTGAAAAATCAGAAAATTGATTTCTGAAGGTTAAGTGACTTATCCAAGAGTCATATAATTAGTAATTGCCCAAATTAGGAAAAACAACTTCCACAAAGGCTGAGAGGAAAAGACAAAACAAACCCCATATTTAGATAAATTGAAAAAAAGGAATCTACCATTGAATTAACAAACAATTCAATTAACTAACTAGTCATTTAGTAAACATTTATTGAACATATAAATAAATAATTGAATGAATGAATGATTTCAATGAACATTTATTGAGTTCCTGCTAGGCATAGCATCAAGAAACTAGGGTACAGAAAATGTACATCAATTTAATTTAGAGTTTGCCATTAACACTACAATCTTCAAACTGCAAATAAATTGCCAACATAACAACACTTAGACTATGATAAAAGGTCCTAAAAAGTGCCATTTTCAGCTAAGCACAGTGGCTCACAACTGCAGTCCCAGCACTTTGGGATGCCAAGGTGGGCAGATACCTTGAGCTCAGGAGTTTGAGACCAGCCTGGGCAACATGGTGAAATTCCATCTCTACAAAAAATACAAAAGTTAGTCAGGTGTGGTAGCATGTGTCTATGGTCCCGGCTACGTGGGAGGCTGAGGAGGGAGGATCACTTGAGCCCGGAATGTGGAGGCTTCGGTGAGCTGAGATCACACCACTGTACTCCAGCCTGGGTGACTCTGCTCTTTTTTGGAGTAGTCAAAAGTCTTAAAGGAGAGCTCCGAGCAGTAGGCAAAGAACCAAGAGCACACAGCAATGGAAACTGAGGAAGGAGGCATTCTCAAGATGAGTAAGACTTCCAAAGGAAGCAGAAATCTAAAAGAACAAAGGCTAAACAAATGGCTGACTTCATAAGTCGGAGTTTGTCAAAGGACTTCTCTGGAACTGTGGGGAAAGAAACCAAGTTTCAAAGGGCAACTGGATGAATGGGTTAAAGAGGAAGAGGAGGGAGTCTTTTAAGAAGTTTGGCAATAAAAGGAGGGAAAGAGAAAGAAAAGTAAGTAGCCTGATGAGAAGAAGCAGCAAGACTGTTAATAAGAGTATAAGGTGAGGAGCAAGAGATAAAAGAAAAGAAAAAGCTGAAGACAGAAGATAGATGGAGAAGATGCAGGAAAGAAACAGAAGGACCAGACCCTAGCACCTCAATAGGTGAGAGGATAGAACACACAAAGGAAAGGCTACCCTTGGAAAATAAGTCACCTTCTGCTCTAAGACAGAAATGAAAGAAAAGAGATTTTGACAATTGGACATGTTACTCTGCATCAAGCTTGAATACAGTACAGAGTGATCAAATTGAATAACACTATTTTGAACTTAAAATAATATTGATTTTCTTGAATCACTCATAACTTGGCATTGAAAAGGACAATGACCATTTGGATATAAGTTCTATACAGTTAAAAATCAGCATCTTTTTTTTCTGGATAGGAAGGAGGACTTATTGGTGGGCATTAGGAGGGAGCAGCAGAGTGGAAGCCCTCATGAATGCAGGGCCTGCTACTTGCCCAGAGGCCATGACTGGGGATGCATTTGACCCCACAGTCATCTGGGATGAGCCGCTTCTCATCCCAGAGCCACCATGTCTTCAAATTAATCTGCACTGGCCGGGCATGGTGGCTCACGCCTGTAGTCCCAGTATTTTGGGAGGCTGAGGTAGGCGAATGACTTGAGGCTAGGAGTTTGAGACCACTTGGCCAGCATGGTGAAACCCCATCTCTACCCAAAAAATATAAAAATTAGATGGGTGTGGTGGCATGTGCCTGTAGTACCAGCTACTGGGGAGGCTGTGGCAGGAGGATTGCTTGAACCTAGGAGGCGGAGATTGTAATGGGCTGAGATTGAACCACTGCCCTCCAGCCTGGGAGACAGAGAAAAACTCTGCTTCAAAAAAAAAAAAAAGGCTGGGCACAGTGGCTCACGCCTGTAATCCCAACACTCTGGGAGGTGGAGGCAGACGGATCATCTGAGGTTGGGAGTTTGAGACCAGCCTGACCAACACAGAGAAACCCCATCTTTACTAAAAATACAAAATTAGCCAAGCGTGGTGGTGCATACCTGTAATCCTAGCTACTCTGGAGACTGAGGCAGGAGAATCACTCGAACCTGGAAAGCGGAGGTTGCCGTGAGCCAAGATTGTGCCAATGCACTGCAGCCTGGGCAACAAGAGCGAAACTCTTGTCTCAAACAAACAAACAAGAAAAAGCATCTGCATGGAACTTTGTAAAGCCTCACTTCTTTCAGATGTGAATCTTCTGGTGGACAAGGAACTTGAACTTGGCCCTGCGGAGGGCCTCAATCACATCTCCTTGATGTGGATAAACATGATGACTTGGCCAGTATGAACCCTGGCCATGGCTCCTTGAGGGTTTCCAAAGGCACCTCCACTGTTTGAAGCCTACACTGGGGACAGTACAAGACCAGAGACATGAACGTACATTGAAAGGGCTGTCTCCGAGATCTCTTAGAGCAATTCATACAAGAAACAGGCTGCATACACTACCAAGTAAGCGCTGTTTGCAGCTATTGCACACCAGGCCCCAAAGAGGAAAGGAATTGGGTTGGCTTAACTGGCTGCAAAAAAATCAGTCTTACTGAGATGCTGGTTATATTCTGTTTCTTAATCTGGGTAGTGGTTACCCTGTGGTGTTCAATTTGTATACTTAATTAAGCTAAAGAAAAAAAAAAGCTTTCATAAAGTTTTTAACTTTAAAACTTTTTTAAAAATGTTTTTAACCTAGCGATGGCTTATGACTGTAATCCCAGTACTTTAGGAGGCTGAGCTGGTAGATTGCTTGAGGCCAAGAGTGTAAGATCAGCCCTGCCAATATGGTGAAACCCTCTCTCTACTAAAAATGCAAAAATTAGCCAGGTGTGGTGGCACGCGCCTGTAATCCCAGCTACTTGGGAGACAGGCAGAAGAATGGCTTTAAACCGGGAGGCGGAGGTTGCAGTGAGCCAAGATCATACCACTGCAGTGTAGCCTGGACAGCAGAGTGAGACTCTGTCTCAAAAAAAAAAAAAGTTTTTAACTTAGAATCACCATTCCTCTACTATTTGTTCAGTTTTTAAAAGAGTGACTCAAGAAAACTATATATTTCTTCAGAAGGGAACATTCCTTATCATTCTTTAAGATCCCCATAGCACTGAATCAGACTAGATATGCAATAGGTATCTCATGAATATATGTTGGTGTGATTGGAAGAATGTTAACACCAAATGTCCAGACTTAAAACAAATCTGTCTCCAGGAAATGGCATCTTCATGACTGCAAAATCTGGCAGACCCCCACTTTAGCCAGTGATTGTACTTAGCATCATTAATGATCTGGACAAACTAACATCATGTGTCTCCTTTTGTGATTAAATGGGAAATATACAACCTCAGCTATTTAGAATTCTTGCCCAAAATATTTAACCTGTATATAATTACGCAGAAATAATTACACAAATTCAGACTGTGAGATATTGTTAAAAAAAAAAGCCTGGAATCTTTAAAAAAAAAATCATGAAACATAAATAAGGGAGAAGACTCCTAAAGATGCATAGCAACTAAATTTAATGTGTAATCTTGTTTGGATCCTGGATTAAAAACAAACTGACAGTTATAATGATTAACATTATAACATTAACATTATTATTAACAGTATTTGGACAATAGGCATATGATAGATTGCAAAAATGGCTATGATTGTTCATAGCCCTGTATCCATGCCCTTGAGCAATATGACTTTGCAGTTATTCCCATCAAGAGGACCTTGTGACTTGCTTTGACCAAAAGATTGCAGAAGCAACAGGGTGCCAATTCCAAGCCTTGGCCTTAAAAGACTTTACACTCTTCCACTCTCAGAACCTGCCCATAAGCTATGGGGACAAGGCTGTTCTTGCCTGCTGGAGGATAAGAGATTCCTCTGGAGCAAAGACAAGCCATTCAAACTGAGTCCGACTTAGACCAGCTAGCTCCTAGTCAGTCCAGCAGCTGACTCCAGAGGTATGAAGGAGCCCAACTGATCAGCTGAGCCTAATCCACACTAGAAGAACCACCCAACTGACCCACGGAATTATGAGCACTAATAAACTGTGGTTGTTTTAAGCCGATAAGTTTTGACATGATTTGTTTATCAGCTAGGTGACTAAAGGCAAAATTTAAATATGGACCTTATATTAGATGACATTATGGAATCAATATTAAATTTCTAAGGCATAATATTGGTATCATGGCTATGAAGAAAAATATCCGCCTTACATTTAGAATACTGATAAATTTAGAGATAAAGGATCATGATGTCTGCCCCACCGCCTAGTATAAATATGTATTTATAAAGAAAGATAAACCAAATGTGGCAAAATATTAGCAATTACCAAACCTAAGTAAAGGGTTTTTTAGTTGTCCTTTGTACTAATATGTTTGTTTTAAATTTTTCAAAATAAAAAATTCGATAGGAAAAAACCCACACACCTCTATTTACCTGGTAACATAGCAAGCTAGCTTGCAGTGAACCGATCCTTTCCATCCCCCACCCCGTTCCCCTTTTTACTGGAGGCAACACTGCTATTGCTGAGAGGGGAGGGAGTAGATACAAAGTGCAGTAAACCAGGGTTATATTCTGACATAGTTAAATGAAAGACTTAATAGTTAAGAAATGTTTAAAGGTAGGTGTTAACAGCAAGCAGCCATTGAGGTTTTCTTCCTGATATAATCAGAAAAAAAATTTGTGGAGGATTGGATGGGGCTTGAAAAGAACAAAGCTTTGGCAAAAAACATGGGCAGGTCTTTGAATTATTTTATGTTGGAAAACAAATATTCCTGTGTTTCTTTATTTTAAGAGATCTCTCAAACGCCTGCAAATGAGAAGGGTATCTTGTATTCATCTCTACCCCCTGAATATCCCTAAAGAATCTTACCAATATAACCTAAATCTGTATATTCATAACCTAATGAAAGCCTTCTTTATTTAATTTGGATTTTCTCCCAAGTGATATGCAGCAATTATTAATGCTGTATATTGACTAACATGAACAAACCCAGAGGCCTAGGTTCAAAGGATATATCTTTCTGAACTGAAATCTAAGGACTTCAGCTTTACTATGTCATATAGAAAAATTCTGCTTAGATTGAATGGCAAACAAAGCCCATTCTCCCCATTCTCTATATATAAAAACAAACAAACAAAAAACAGTAATCCAGGTAGGAAGATTTTTTTTTTTTTAGAACAATCTCTACAAATCTGTTCAAGGTCTTTGACTTCAAAAAAGTCCAGTAGAGCAATCCCATGTATTACCATTGTCAGATGAGAAAAACATCCAACTTACATAAGAAAGGCAAGAAAATATTGCCAGGTACTGTACATTTAATGAGTTTGTTGTTCTTGTTCATCAGAACTGAAGAATTAATGCAGCAAAGACATTTGTTTTAGGCATCATTTGGCTCAAAGCCAAATCCATTCCTCATTTTTCTTACAGAATTCCTTGATTCTCTAGCCCATAAACCCCAGGATGCTTCAGAATATAGTTTGAAACTACAGTCTTAAATGAAAATGGTTGTGGAAAAAGAAGGTACCACATACAGAGAGAATCTTCCAGTTGCCTCTACAAACATCATCAGATTCAGAGAAACCAAGCAGGCTATCAGGTCTTCAAGGAAACTTTGATGTTCAAAGAGAATTCTACTGTACACATTAATTCCCAAAAATGTTCAGGGGTACTGTAAAACAGCTGTAGAGCAATAGGCTTTCCTAGCCCAAATCTCCACATTAGTCTATCTCATGAAAGGACTAACCATCAGCAGATGAGACATGGTCTAACACAGACATTGAATTCCCCTTCACTCGTCATCAGAGTGTCAACTGTTTAAAGCATGAATTGATTAATTTATTCTGTAAACATTTTTTTTTTAATAGAGATGAGGTCTTGCTTTGTCACCAGCCTCCCCAGCAACTGAAACTACAGACATCCACCACTGTGCCCATATAATTGTTTTTTTCTAGAGATAGGATCTTGCCATCTTGCCCAAGCTGGTCTTGAACTCCTGGGCTAAAACAACTCTTCCTCCTTGGCCTCCCAAAGTGCTGAGATTACAGGCATGAGCTACAGCACCCTGTAAACATTTATTGAGCAAATAATATATGCCAAGTCCAGAGTAGGAAAACACAGATGAAAAGGGCATCCTTCTTGCCCACCAGGAAGTCACAAACTAATGGAGAAGCACAATCTAAGCACTTAGTCAAATTGGAATAAAGAGCTTTGCCATGGTTAAGCCCTTGAGCCTAGATCCTGACTCTACCATTTATTGGCCTAGTGGCTTTGGATAAAATTGACTTAACCTCTCAAAAAGTTTTGTTTCTTCAGCTGTAAAACGGGTATGATAAACCTATTATATTGAGTTACCATCAGAATTGAGATTATATATATGACTATACATATCATAGTAACTTTAGGTAAATGTCAGCTATAATTATTAATCTTTGTTATTATCTGAGTGGTTATACTAGGTTCTATTTGTATCTAAAATCCACCCTGAGATTCTAATAATTAGCTGTGTGACCCAGAGTAAGTAATTTAACATCTCTGGGCCTCATGCTCTTTATCTGTTCAATGAGAGGTTATAGGCCGGGCGTAGTGGCTCATGCCTGTAATCCAAGCACTTTGGAGGCCAAGGCAGGTGGATCACCTGAGGTCGGGAGTTCAAGACCAGCCTGACCAACA